GTTATTATACAGTTTTACGGGCACTTTCGTTTAAGAAAATAAAAATTTTGATCATACTGCCCCTTTAACTTAACCAATTAAAACACGTAGCTCAGAGTTAACTACTATTTAACTTCAACAGTGGTTAAAAACAATAAAAAGTAGTTAAGAGTTTTATACAACCGCCCCCAGGTAGTTGTATCATACAAACAAGCCCGCATAATGTATTCTGCAACACCTGCACTTTGCACCCAGCATCCATGAAATTATGTTTTTCATTGTGTATAAGCTCTTACTGAAACCTGGCTTTCGATTATATCGTCATATAAATTGGGAATTGTCTCCAATTGTCAAGATTTCATATGAGTTTCCACTTAGAAACGTTGTCAAATAAAAAGTGATATCCACAATAACGTACAATGATGTATCAACTATAAAATAGATGTTTGTGCGATGTTACTCTGAGTGTATATCCACACCGGGCAGGCTTGAAAAATATGCCTGGCCACGGCGGGATTCGAACCTACGACCTTTGGAATACTAGCCCAATGCTCTTCCAACTGAGCTACGCGGTCAGGACGGTTCGAGTAAGCGATATTTCGGAACTGAGTCTAGTTCCTTCGATATCAGTGTAATCTAATATTTATGAAATCTGCTGTGTTGGTGTAATGTACTCAGGTGAATAAGATGTTTGTGCGATGTTACTCTGGGCTAGTATTCCAAAGGTCGTAGGTTCGAATCCCGCCGTGGCCAGGCATATTTTTCAAACCTGCCCGGTGTGGATATACACTCAGAGTAACATCGCACAAACATCTTATTCACCTGAGTACATTACACCAACACAGCAGATTTTATAAAATAGATAGTACAATTAGCATATTGTGGGTGGTATGCTATTATATTGGTAAAGTAACATACATATACGTTACGGCGTACAGTCTGGACAACGTGCTTTGTTTTCCTTGAATTAGGCTAAGACAAAATCAGATAAGAAAAGACGGGAAATGGAGGAATCGTTTTGGAAACAAGCTCATGCTTCTCGTCAAGAGGTATACAGTATGCATGCAGTACAGTATAAGCCAAATCAGTGTAATTTGACGTGCATGCAACTCGTGTGTTGTGATAAAAATTTCAGCCAGGTAAAAATTGTTGAGTAAAACCCTGACCTGGACCAACCAGGACGAGAGCTGATGAGAGTTGGCAAGAGATTAAGAATATTTAAAATACAAATGTTCGTTTTTATGTTAAGGCGGCTCAACAACGTCGTGAGGATAAACAACGCGCAGAAAAAGAACGAATGATGAATGAAGATGATACTGAGAAACAAAGGCGATGGGAGGTACAGTTTATATTCTGTAACAGACCTGGAAAAAGTCGGATTCTGGGTTTGCCTTTTTAGAATTTTCCTCAAAAGTGCGTGAAAACAATGGAAAATTTGACCGTACATTATGTATGCAAGAAGAAAGTATATAGTCGAGCCTCTATTGAGCAGCCCACTATAGAGATTCAGCGGCCAGGTTTCTTAAAACCTTAAAAATTCACATCGAAAATTCCATCTACAAAAGCGGCCGCGGCCATGCACCTTTAAATAGTCCCGATTGTTTTTTTCTGTTGCATTTTATCTCTATTAAACGGCACGTACAGTACACTCACTTTAACGAATATTGAGATTAGATTGTTTCATTTACCTATATGACATTTCTTTATTGCGTGTTGCCATTACCAAAATATATATATTGAGAACACTGCCTTGTATTCGCGTGTCTCTCGTTTCCCGACATTCGCAAGGAATTTCCAAACCATCATTGCGGCCTTTTTAAATAAAAACTTGCGGCCTTTCATCCTCGCCTTCCTTAAAACACTATTACGAGCTGTTATTGTTAATTTGATATTCTTGTCGTAGCTTAGTATTGTTTTTTATTTGAATAAATTGAAATTTGATAACGAATTTTTGCGTACGTTCTTCTATTAAGCGGCCACATGAGCGCCGAGCCCCATGCAAAGGGTGGCCGTTTAATAGAGATTTGACTGCACACTTGAATGATATAATGATTCCTCAACGTGTGTATGAAAATGTGAAAATGTTCCTTATTCTTATTCTTATTAAAGTAAAGGCAAATTTTTTCTCAGGATCCCGAGATCCCACTTTTTTCCTGGTCTGTGTCAATCTCGTACCCAGAGCCAAAGAATAATCGACCCTGGGTACGAGATTGAGTCTGTGCTGTAAAAAAATATACAACACCAAATTTGCATCTTAGGATGAAATGTCACAGATATACAGAAATTCTCTGCAGTATTCTCACTAGAAACACTCAATAATGTTTGTAATGAAGGTTTCAATCAACTCAGCCAATTAGCGTGAGGTTAATTAAATGTGATTATACAATTACTTTATGGTTTCCGTGTTTGGATGGCCTGATCCAAACACGCGGGAATGTTGCGAGAGTTAAGAAAAGCGAGCGAAAGCACGAGCCGAAGGCGAGTGATTTTGCCCGCTTTTCTTAACTCGAGCAACATTCCCAAGTGTTTGGATCAGGCCATCCAAACACGGAAACCATAAAGTAATTGTTTTATAAAATAACAACAACACACGATAATCTTCCGTGTTTGGATGGCCTGATCCAAACACAGGTTTCGACCAATCAGAACACGCGTTATATACATGTTATTTTATAATGGCTGATCAAAGTATGGCCTATGTTTTTAATAAACATGAAAGTTTCATGTGGGCATATATAGACTTGCCCACAAGTCAATTTCGAATAGCGAGCGGCGAAGCCGCGAGCCACGAAAAAAAATTGGAACGGACTTTGGGAAAGTCTAGTGGGCATAGGCCTACTAAGACATTTTTTATTTTTTGTTTGTGACCGTTTATCCTTGAAAGCAAAAGACGGTAATTTAGAATTCAGTTTTTTTAAACGTTCAAGAGCGAATCGTTTCGCCATGTTGTGCACTGGCATTTCGCGTAGTAGTCTTCTGGTTGCGTGATAGTTTGTAGTACACAATAACAATTTATAATAATAAACCATTTTCCCCATTTCAGGACAAATTACACAAGAAAGAAATGAAGAAACGAAATCCTGCATACAAGATGAAACAATTAAAGGCCAGAGCGTAATAAAACTGCATTGCACTAAAAACTAATTCGGTACTTGTCATGGTTTGCCACGTTAATGTTTTTAACTTATACAATCAATAATCTAACATCTGTTTAATAAAAGTCCGTCTGCTATTGTGCATACTAAATACTGATATACTAAAGAGAAGTGTCATTGTCATAAAGGCATGCTCTGGAATCTTGGATGTTCAAATTCGGGATTTGGCTCAATACTTTGCACCAGTGGTGTAGAACTGAAATGATAAGAAGGAGGCTCCTAAAGGGGGACGGGACAAGACGAGAGGCCGCAGGGGCGGCGCTAAAGGGGGTGGGGAGTAATTGGTAACCCCCCTCCCCAGTCGTGTGGTAGTCGGCAAAATAGTGAATCTAGTCGGCAAACTGTATTCGTAGTTGGCAAAACATCAATTTGATAAAACATTGAGTGAAACAGATTAAAAATTAATAATTATAGCTAAAATTTTGAGAAATTTACCAAAAAATATATATGAAACAATGAAATATTAAAGGAACAACGATATGCGACCTCCCCCTAATGTCTGGAAAACTTTCTTACGACAACCCTTCCCTCCGCCTTCTCCCGCTCGCCAAGCCGGAATATGAAATTATTAATGAAGCTATTCCTCCCAAGCCGGAATATGAAATTTTTAACAAAGGGGCTGATCCCCCTCCCCCTTCTACACCACTGCTTGCACATATGCCGGGATCCGCTTGAAGCCATGAACAGATTAAAAATACACAAGTTTGGCTGAAGAAAACTGCATGCACGGGGCTTAGAAATGAGCCAAGTTCGAAATGCAAATCGCTACCACAGGTACAGTACACTAGTCGGAGTACTCAATTTATCCATGATGTCCCTAATAACTCCCGGTGAATGGTATTGCTTTGTTGTTGTGTTGTTGTGTTGCCCACAGCAACGCTGAAACGGTCTACACTGCATGGCACAGACAGTTCGAGCTGCTATATATATATTTACCTTCTACTTTATATTGCGTTTTATTGCCATGGATATCAATAATAATGTTAAAAATGTTAAAAATGATAATTCACTTCAGTGCAAATATTTGAAGAACATATCCGCGAGGACGAGGTACTTCTTTTGTTTGCTGCCTGTTACTGTGTCACAAAAGGACAAAGAGAAGGTCCAGAGGTCCTATAAAACATTCGCGAAAGTTGTCAATAGTGTGCATGTAGTATAGTCTGCTCGCAGCCCAAAATTAAATACTTTCAGCAATATTGCAATAATATAATATAAATACTATTAGACATCTGAGCTATAGATTATAGTACCTTCGAGCGAGGTTCAACTTTTGTTTGTTGTCAATATTATAAAACATCGCAGGAGATGCCAGCACGACGCAATCACTATGTACTTTAAGACTCTATAGTTCTAGCTGTTATTAAAACATCAAACAACCTGCACGCATTCTGTCTCCTTAAATTTAATATTTGTTGGGCTATGTCATTTCACCAATGCGGACAGAAGCGGCATAGAATCATGTCCTCTACAACCACTCCATACATTTGCAATTGATTGCTTCTCAGACATTTCTCTTTCGAGCGGAATTCCTTCCAGCGAAAGCCCTTCAAGTGATACTCGCAGAAGATGCCAGCACCACGCAATCGCTATATACTTTATGATTCTGGTTCTATACTCTATACTTATTTTTAAGCTTATTTTTAAAACGTGCATCAAATAACCTGCATGCACTCTGTCTCCTTAAATATTTGTTGGGTATGTCATTTCACTAATGCGAGGCAAGGTATAGAATCATGTCCTCTGCAACCACTCCATACATTTGGCAATCGACTTCTTCTGTATACAGCTATTTCTTTCTCTTTCTTGCGGGGATTCCCGGACAGGCCTCAGTGCAGCCATATTGTATCTTATATCAAATCCTGGCAGTGTGAGGACAAACGGATACTCAATATCTTTTAACCTTGCCACTTTAGTCAACTCTTGAGTTGTGTTATGATTCATTGGTGTACTAGACAGGGTACTTGAATTACTAGGTAATTTATCTGTATTGCAAGTGATCGGAGATACAACCAAGTACTGCAACTCTGAAGCTGTGTCTGCAGACCCCTCGTGTGATTGTCTATTCACAGAACGTATCTCTTGTAGCACAATTTGCGCTTCGGTTGACATTTTTGGAACACGATGTAACTTCTTTTTCTTTCGTGCTAATGATGATGCTTTATGCTCGTTCATACCCAGGAAGTTTAACGCTCAAAATTCTTCAAAATCGAAATACACTGCCCCAGCTTCATAAATATCTACAGTACAAAGACCATGGACGATCTTTGCGTCAACAAAGTTAATCCGTCGCTTATCGTGATGCCAGGTCATTAAAAGCAGAGGATAATTCTGTTGATGTTACAAGGTATCCATTGTCAACAAAACTCTTAAAGAGGATTAGTACTTATTCTTCGCTAAAACACGATTTCTGTGCCAGACGAGCTTTATAAATCAAGTGTTTTTTCCGTAATAATATTTGTACTGACGGAATTACACCAATATTAGTTCACAGCATGGTGGGAACATTAACACCTCGTATAATTGCGTGAATGGCAATAATCAGAATTGAATTCACTTCGCTGCACGAATCCTCCTCATTCGTGGTAAACTGACCCAAGCATATTCGTATCAAGGCAAATTATCAAGCCTTTGACTTTGTTCATGTTTTGTTTGTATGTAATTTACAATTTTTTGTTCATTGATTGCCCTGTCAAGGATTTCCTAAATAGCAGAAGTTCGTTTTAAAATTATGCAACACAGTCAACATAGATCAACATATATCATAATTTTGACATAAACCTCACTAGTATCGTGTAATAGTTTACTAAGATTTGAAATCGTTGTTTAGCTTGAATTTCAGATAGCCACATGTTGAGATAGACATATCAGCGAGTGACCGTTGTTCGGTTGTTGTTCTTGTACATTTTATGAAAAAAAAATCCAGTGGGCAGCGGCAGTGGGTCCCGTAATTATTGAAATATAAACCCATACTGGCATGAAATACTTACGACTCTTATGTGCATTGTAATTGAAGATTTCACTGTATATTAAAAAGTGGAAAAACTGATTATCTGGAAAGGCACCCATGCAAAGTGCCATTGTTACCAAAATCACTGCCACATGCAGACATACTACTCCGCTCGTGTTCCAAGATCCGCCATGTAAAGTGTAGTGAAATGTATCTACTAATCGTAATCACAAGCTCACAGCCAACAGAAGCCTCTGCGGCGGAGAGAGCTACTCATGTCTCATAAGCAGGGGCCGGCCCAGGGCGAGGGGATGTGTTCCCGTAGCAAATTTTCCTTTGTTATTCCTTGTTCCCCACAAATATTTTACCATGTTCCGTTGTTCCCTATGACTTTTTCGGCTTTGTTCATTTGTTCCCGTTGGAAAAAAATTCCCTTGTTCCAGAAACCCCTGGGAGACCCTCAGGTTTCACTAAACACAAGGCTTCCGGAGTCGCCAAAATATAGGTTCTGTGTCTAATAATGGGCCCATTTCTTCCGTATTGCATGTTATAGCTGGAACGGTTGCCCTTTTACTAATATGTAGGTGCTCTTTTCATTTCTGGGGCCACGGTTGTTCAAAATTGGATTAGCGATAACCCTGGGTTAAAATCTAGTGCATGTTCTGTTATCACTATTCAGTTCAAGATTTCTTCAAAATGTATAAAACTTCTATTGAACCAGACACGATTTCTGGACCTATAAGGTCTATAAGCAAGCACAGGTAAGCGAGTGCCGGTGGTTTATTTTGAAAATTTTTGATGGGGGGGGTTTTGGTAAAATAATTTTCCGGATATTTAAAAAAAAAAGGTTCAAGAAAATTTCTCCGAACAAATACCTGTAAAACACGGGTAAAACACATTTTTTCGGGCATGGGCGTACGGACCTAGTCTTGTTTGGGGGGCACAGTATTAGTTTGCCGGACCGTCGCTAATTGATTTTTTCCCTGACATACCAAAAAATTTTTCTATATCCCGTTATTTTCAAAACATTTTCCGGACATACCAAACAATTTTCCTTGCAAAAATTTTTTTTCATGCCATTAATTTATATAAAAACCGTTCCGGATCATTTCTTTTAATTACACCTTTTTTGGCGAGACTCTCTCCCCCAGCCTCCAGTGAACTTGGTGTGACTTGGTTATGTCCATCTTGGTTATGTCCAATTAGACCATTCCAGCCAATCATCGTAATGTTAATGCACATTGATATCACAAACGTCGTCACCACCACATATTTGATTGGGTTGGGGGAGTGGGGGAAGAGCAACATGATTTAGAATTGGGATATATCGTAAGGGGTGCTTTTGTATAGAGGGAAAGGAAGTAAGGTCCCCCCCACACACACACACATAAACAAATTCTTAAAAACGACCCTGTAGCTTGGTATTAAATTAAAGCCCATTTTCCACTGGGCGAATTTGTTCGCGCGAAGCGAAGCGAAAACGTTGGACAGTCCAATGAATCAGTCCAGTGAACTGATCAGTCCTCCGTTGCTTAGAAACAATTAAACAAACAATATGGCGGCTGCAATGCGAGTGAATGTATTAAAATGCAGTAAAATGTTTTGTATTTTGGAACAATGGTTGGCTAGATCAGTTTAAAAATGGCCTCCCATAATGGCGGACGTTCTCCTAAAGATCTACGCCATCTTCTGAGCGTTGCTCGACAGGTAGTGTGTAGAAAATGACAAATGTGTTTGCTGTTTGCATAATTGTATTTTAGTGCTTGCATCAGTTGCATGCTGCTCCTGCTTGCATAATTGGCACATTCGCTATTATTTTAAATGTAATACATACTGGAATGTAGCAGGCAGGACTTGTCCAGGGTACAATCTCTAACACTCCATTGGGCATCCATTTTGAGCACTTTCTCGATATTAACGATATATTCGTATAAACCAAAATCTATCCTATAGCTATGTGCATTTATAATAATATACAGCACCAGCATGCACCCCTTGACGGGTAGGGCACATTAGGGGTAATTCTCAATGGGTTAACTAGACACATGGGCAGATAGTCTGATTAACTTATTGAGTTCCCACACCATAAAGTTTGGTCTGTGCAGGGGATGCTTTCCGACAAAAAAGTGTTAGGGGATGATTCTATAAAGAGGCAGAATGACAATGTTACTGGACCCCCAACTACAAAGTCTGAAAATAGACCAAACTGTCGTCAAGTGGGTATCAAATTCAAGGTTATTGGGGGTAACAATAGACGAAGGATTAACATCATCAAAACATGCCTGTCAAAACAGGGTATCCTAGGTAGTGGCGCTACCTGCAAGTGTCTGTAGCTAACTGCAATCCTTGTCTGAACTCTGAAGTTTTTATGCATGCTAACTAAAAAAATACTTAAAATTTTCCACAAACTAATTGCAAAATTTTTTTGGCTACCTGCAAAAAAACTAAATATACAGGCATGTGTCAAAACATCTGATATCTGGTACAATGTGCTTAGATCTATATAAGTTATTCTCTTCTGTAACTTAATGCAATATCCAGCCATCTGTGGTGGCTTCAGCAATAAGTGGGCTTTGATGCCCTGGAGGTGCTCCACTGTACGTAAGGCTGCAAGAATAATTTATCACAAGAATATTAAGTAAATGGAATCTGTTATATGATATGTATAAAGTTAGGTCACCAACTCTATGTACAATATTTTTTATCAAGCAACCTCCATGTATGCAGGACATTATAGAGAATACTACATATAATTTAAGGAATGAGAACAACATCATTGTTCCACTCTTTGAAACTTAAATTCTATAGAGGAGCCATTGTCTGGAATTTACTTAGCCCACTAAACAATGCAGCTAATGTATGCTAAACAATGCAGCTAATGTTCTGTACTGTACTGTACTGTACTGTACTGTACTGTACTGTACTGTAGAGGCCTATAAAATTATGGCTTGGAAGTCTCAGGCTCTCAGGGAGCTGAATTTCTCCAGTGAGTCAGCAGCAACAACTGGGAATATTGATCGAGACAAGTTTCATATATTTTTAATTATAAACAATGAACAAATATATAATTACATATATAGGTAGTTTGTACTTTGTACCTAAGCACAGCCCCACAGCTTCAGCTTTTAAATCTTTACCATGTTGAAATAAATAATTTTATTGTATTGTCAGTGTATTGTGCCAGTGCTCTCGCCCTGATAAGTAAAATCATCTGGTGTTAGACAGAGTAAAATAATAAAATACAGGTGTATGTACCACAGAATAACGCAAAAATTCACATGTTCCATATCTTTTGTCTAATGTATATAATATGCCGTTCCTTAATATTTTTTAGTTTTGTCTATCAATATATTTTTTCTTCCTGGGAGTTTTGGGGCAAGATCTCATAGACTTAATTATTTTTTTAAGTGAATATTCTGTGGGAAAAAATCCAATGTACCACAGAATACCAGCCAGAGGTAAGAAAGCAACTTACAGTTTATCAAATTGTACATACCAGGATTTGGTGTGTCATGTTGTGTGATAATATACTGTGGGATATTGCTAACTTAATTTAGTGAAAGTTAAACACTAAAATCAGTACAGAATACCAGTGGTATAACCTATTTAAGAATACCAGGTTTATCAATAATTTTGAAAAATTCAGTTTTTCAATGGGAAAATTGATTACACTGTGTGATTCTGAGTGTAGTAGTAATGTTGTGTTGCATAGAAAAAGTATTGATCAGCATAAATTATGCTGGTTTGCGAACATATTTTTAAACATTCGGATTTTACAGGCATTATGCGAAAAAAGTACCAAAAATATAGAATGTTACTTCTTGTTAATCCTGATTATTTTTAAGAATTTTTAAGTACTATTTAAAAAACGAGCAGGAGTGTTTTATTAGGTTTAAAGCCACGAGCGCGCAGCGCGAGTGGCTTTAGGCCTAATAAAACACGACCCGCGAGTTTTTTAAATGACTTCAAAAACGTATGCATAATAAATCAAATCTTTATATAAAAATCTTTATATAAAAATCTTTATATAAAAATCTTTATATAAAAACCTTTATATAGTTTGCATAACAATGGTCTTTTGTTAAAGTGTTCTTTAGCTGGTATAAAGACGTATGCACGTGACTAATTTCTTACTCAAGATTGGATAATTGCTTCATGAATTATTAATGAGTTTTTGAAGAAAATATACAGTTACATTTTTTGTTTTTATATGTCAATAATTAAGACTAAAACTAATATATAATCACAAAAATAAAGTTTATATTTCCTTCAAATTTTATATAAGAAATAAATATACTGTAAGACTGGTATTCTGTGGAACATACACCTGTAGGTTGCATTAGGACACAATGCAACTCAATGGGTTAACATTATTTGGCATGCCAATTTAGCTTTGGTAAAGAAAGAAAGTCTCAATTTTACCTGGATTCTGAAAATTTAGAAAAAGAGAGGGCTAAGCCCCTCCCAAGATAGGCTTTTTATATATTATATACAATTCATAATTTCCCATTATGTGGTTATTTTGTAACATTTATTGTGGATGGATGGTTGAGATGTTCAAATGCAGGTTTGTATATGTCAAATCTTCCTGATCAGAAGAACGAAATGCCATTCAAACGTTTCTAGGGGAGCATTCCCCCAGACTCGAACACAGTTGTTTAGTCCCCCGGCCCCCCTCCCACCGCAACCAAACCAATCTTCTGCTATCTATTGAAAAGAGGGACGCCTTTTCAGGGTACATTCCATCAGGTGACATGCGTTGAAATGGCAACATGTAGAAATTAAAATAATGACATATGACATGAGTTTTATGTCTTTATGAATTATGTCCAAATTCCGAAAGCAATTGCTGCTATGCCAAGTCTTTTGATAATGACACACTGCTGATCTTTGAACTTCAATATAAACCTGCCTTAGTTACAGGGGCGAAACTAGCCCCTTTTAATCGGGGGGTCTGTCAGAATTGCCCTGCAAAAGTCGATGATGCCCTGCAGCAAATTTTTATTTTTGGCCACTATTTTTCAAAAAAAAATTTTGAGGTTTTCTGGAGGTTGAAAAAACATGCGTGAAATTTTATTTCTATCAACTATGGTGAAACCCTTATTTTTGGACCAATATCTGCAAAATTTAGGTCTATAAATTCTATTCAATTCTCTCTGGAAGCCCTGTAAGTTACTTAATAACTCTACATTCTACCATTTAAAATCTTTGATTGCCCTGCCAATCCAGATGATTCGCCCTGCCAATCCAGATGATTCGTATTTTGGAGGGTGTTACCCCCCCATACCCCCACTTCAAGTTAACCCTCTTTGTGTGTACATCAGTGCATGTCCTCTAAAATGCACAGCTCTAGCCAAGTTTTATTTGTCATGGGTTTCAAATTCTGGATGTAGAATCGAATACATTAATGATTCAAATTTCTATTTGATTTCATCAATTAAGGATGCAGCATTTTTCCCAGAAGAGATTGAGGAGAACTTGGCAAAGTTGAAAAGTTTGCCCACAGATGAAACATCTGAAAATGCAATGCTCCGTGATCGCATCGACCAACAGTCTGAACTTATATGCATCCTAAAGAAACAGGCAGACACCACTCTCATTAAATCACAATCACTTGAACAAGATATGAGAGAACTACAAGCAGCTAAGGAGGAAGCGGAATGTAATTATCATGATCAAGTCAGAAAATATATTGTGCTTGAAAAACGGTTTCAGACATTATATCATAATCATGAAGAGATTATAAAAATAAAGGATGGGTACAAAGTAGTAAATGATGAATTAAGACGAGAGAATAAAGATTTGTTGGCGAGAAAAGCGGAGGAAGTGGCCGTGTTGATAGATGAAAAGAATGAGAGGATAAAAGAATTGGAAAATAGTTTGAAAATATTGAACGATAAATTTCAGAACTGCAATGATTTTTTAATGTAAGACATTTAGTATAATTATATAATAATAATGAGGGGCTCTAGTGGTTTTTAAAGTGCATATGACATGAAATTTCTTATTTTCTTGAACGATAGAACTCTTTATTAAAGCTGGAGTGTAACTTATTTTTCAGTTTCTTGTTTTTATGGTTTGTTTCCGAGATATTTCAATTTGAATTTTTTTCTGTGTTGGTGTAGTGTACTCAGGTGAATATGATATTTGTGGTGTTACTCTGAGTGTATATCCACACCGGGCGAGCTTGAAAAATATGCCCGGCCACGGTGGGATTCGAACCTACGACCTTTGGAATACTAGCCCAATGCTCTTCCAACTGAGCTACGCGGTCAAAACGGTTCGAGTAAGTGATATTTCAGAACAGAATCTAGTTCCTTCGATACCAATGTATTCTATTAATATGAATTTTTTCTGTGTTGGTGTAGTGTACTCAGGTGAATATGATATTTGTGGTGTTACTCTGAGTGTATATCTACACCGGGCGAGCTTGAAAAATATGCCCGGCCACGGTGGGATTCGAACCTACGACCTTTGGAATACTAGCCCAATGCTCTTCCAGCTGAGCTACGCGGTCAAAACGGTTCGAGTAAGTGATATTTCAGAACAGAATCTAGTTCCTTCGATACCAATGTATTCTATTAATATGAATTTTTTCTGTGTTGGTGTAGTGTACTCAGGTGAATATGATATTTGTGGTGTTACTCTGAGTGTATATCCACACCGGG